TCCTTTATTTTGGCTTGTATCTGACCCCTAAATTCAAACTGCAGAAATACACTTCTCTAAAAAAATCAATAGTCTGCTAAACTATTATTTAACAATATTCCTCTCCTTTTTAGCTCTTAGTAAATTTTGTCTTTTTTATATCACTTTTAATCATTGTTCTGCCAGCCATTTACACAAGCTCGCTAGGTAGGTTATTCGCTGCTTTCGTCTGTCCCTCTTGCCTTCAATGCTAAGCCGGTGTCAAATTTTCTAAACCCTCTTTCCTCCTTATCTACCATAGAGATTTCAATTGTTTCTTTATGATATTAAATATAAGTGTCCTTTTTGTTTCCTTTTTCCTCTAAAACTTCGTCATTGCTCGCATGTTCAATCTATTGAATTCCAGAATCCTTCTACAGAAGCACATTTCTCTTGTCTCAAGTCTCTTCTTCACTTGCTGCCATATACAAAGACTGGTATTACATAACAGTTCACTACGCTTTGTTTCAAACGAAATTTTCCTATTTCTTAATACTTTGCTAAGCTTTTGGAAGGCAACTTTTGTTATCCCACGTTCCTACATTCCACGTCCTCTGTCAAAAAAACTTCCTATCTGTGATTATTAAGACAACCAAAGCGATAAGATCGTCATGAAAGTGGGAAAAGGAAAAATACAAAGAAAGTCAAAAGACTAACAAGCAGCATGACTTTCCTACTTGTATATGCCGATACCTCCACACACCTTAATCCATACTCCAATTGTCAACTCTGTCAGAGCCTTTGATCACGCTAAGCCGATTCATTCTAATAGCGATTTCGTAAGAAAAAAATTAAGCCAATTTTTGCTCATTCTCTTTACCAACCTTTCATTTTTAGATGCCATCAGTAGTAGTGGTGAAATCTACTTTACTGTTTTTAACTATAAAAATTCCCAAGGAAAAACTACAATATTAAGTGCGTTTTATGACTCTTGATAATTCTTCTTTTAGAAAAAAATAGTGGCTTTGCGTCTTATTAATTTTGTTATTTTAAGTTAGTCTGTTGCTATATTCCTAACTACTATCTGCAATAAACCAGAACGTTACGACACATAGTGGTGGATCTACTATGAAACTAATAAAGTTTCAGATCCCCTAATACCAATGGGAGCCTTGAAGCAACTTTTAATGAGTGAATTTTTCAACAAAATCGATGAGGTTATTTTTTAAAGTGTTTTTTTTTATTAAAATAAAAGGCCATTTTAATGATAGAATCATAAGCCAATGGGTTGAAGTACCTAATGTTGACCTTAGAATATGCTATAATACCCATTTCATATGGCTTCAAAAATCCCTTCTAAGTGGTCAAATATTAAATTTGGTAGGGGCGATTGCAGCGCCTGAACTGTCAGCTGTATGAGAGCTCGACAAAATCTATTGATAGCCTACATTTTGACAGTTGGATCCTCGAATCTATTGTTGCTGATTGCGAAAGGTACAATATCTGTTCAAGATTCAGGACCCCATATCTGTTCAAGATTCAGGACCCCAAATATGTAGGTCTGCCACTGACGACGCACCAAGGTGTCATGACACCCCGTTTAAAAAGCACTGATTCAGTTATTGCTTGATCAACTTAAAGACATAGGCACATGACCAGTTTCTTCTAGGTCTCTACGTACACGACGAACTGTTTTAATTATTACAGTAACCTGAATTCATTCATACATAACCTCTAAAAATAGAAGAATTTACTTCCGTTTTCCACAACCTACTCATTACTCCTTGCTTAGATTATATCGTTATCAGCAGCCTTTTATCTGTGACATAATTTAATAATTTTAACGAGTCGTTTATTCTACGGATCTTTGCTAGAAAAAAATCCTGTCAGTGATGATAAAGACAACGAAAGTGATAATGTCGTCATAAAAGGTGGAAAGGGGGAAATACAAAGAAAGGCAGAAGACTAACAAGTAACATAAGTTTGATCTTGGATCCTTCAGGTAATGCATGACAATACGTGACGTGCATGGAGACGGCTCGTGCCATTAGCGGAATATTTTCAGTTCATCCTAATGATTCGCTTGGGCTGATTTCCTTTCTTAGTCTGTCTGTCTGTCTGTCTGTCTGTCTGTCTGTCTGTCTCTCTCTCTCTCTCTCTCTGTCGCTGTAAAGTCTGCTTAATTTCTCTGCTTTGATTTTTTTTAAGCAAATCACCCGAAGCAAGGCGGGAGTGCCACTAGCACGCAAGGGCTTACAGAGAGTGAGAGTAAGAGTAAAGAGGAGTGTTCGGGAAAAGGATAAAGAGAAGGACAGGGGTCAAGGTCAAGGCATCAGAAGATGTCGATTGATATTACATTTGAATATTTGAAGATAATAGCTATCAGGGAAGCAAGTGATAAGAAGGGAGTTCCACTGACGGGAGGGGGGGCGAGAGATAGGAAGCTGTTGGAGTAAAAGAGATGGCTACATTTAGCCATTTCGACAGTGAAATGGTGGGACCGAGATGACAACCTTGTAGCACGTTTAAATTCGTGCAGTTTGGGAACTAGTGAAATTAGCTTGACGGAGCAGTTACCATGAAAGTACTTGTAGAAAAGACAGGGGAAAGCCATAACACGTCTGTGAGAAAGTGGCTGTAGATGGGATACCAGATCTAAGTCAGTCACGAGAAAACTGCGGCTTGCGGACCGCACGCGGCCCGTTTGGCTTTCTGGATAACACACCTAATTTCATGAAGATATGTTAATCTTAAAATTTGGTATGTTTCGTTTTCAATTGTTCACTCACACTTTCTCGTACATAACTACATACATAAACAATGATTATAGTGTTTCTTGAATTTTTAAACTTTCGTTCAAGATAACGCTTTTTAAACCGTTGGCTATTTTCACTAAGGAAGATCACAAGTGTAAATATATTTTGCTTTAGAAACAGAAAATGTTCATAATTATTTTTTCTGGAGAAAAAATATACTTTTTATTTCAACTTTTTTTTGTATTTTCAAATGAATAAATTAATCAGACAAAGCGGCGTATGCTAATCACACTGAAATCTGTGTTAATATTATACCAAGACTTCAATTCTTTAACTATCGGAAAATCTTTTGTTCAAAGAAAAAAAACTCAACTTTTCCCCATTTCTAAGGTCAGCGTAGTGAAAATGGCTGAGTTATCTTCAACGAAACATTACCTTGAATCTTTTAACTAAAGTGGCTTGCCTTATGACGCAGTGTATCTCATGCAGCTCACTGGACGGAAAAGGTTGCCCAAGCCTGATTTAATCCTTACGTAAGGTTTTCAACATTCGGTATGTATTTATTGTGCCATCAAAGTAGAGAAGGTTGTTTGGGGGCAGACTTTAAAGATGTCGTGAATGAAACGAAATGCGGCTTCTTAAAACTTAATACGTCACATTAATAACACGGCGTTTAAGGTATTAAGCGCTAAGATGCAATTATATTATTAGACATTGTAGTCTTTTTGTTTTCGTTTTTGCTGTGTTTTTTTTTGTCTTTTTTTGTTTTGTTTTTTTTTTTTTTTTTTTTTGCTTTTGTCATTATTTACTACGTTATTCTTGGCACGCGTTCGCATTCTGACAATGAGACCCGATTTCGAATCTCACCATGGTCGATTTGTCAAGAAGGAGACTTCCTGACACATCGCCGTCGACAGCTGTGCTAGCACGAAGTCATAAGTCATCGTGGCCGAAGGCTTGAGCGTGCTGACCTTGTTCAAATTGTTGATCACGCTAGATAATACGCTCTGAAACTAAGGTCTGCTCAGCATAGTTGCAGTATAAACCACTTAAATAAACCCAAATGTGCCTGAGCAAGCGTCTGCAATAGGGATTAACTAGCCACTCTACGACTGACATATATTCCTTACATCCATTATTATAAATTATGCTTCCTATTAACTTTCATCTTAATTATACAGGATTTTTATCGTAACTATTCAAGTCGTCAACATACGCCACTGAGTAAACAGCTGATCTAAACTGTGATAAAAAGCAACTAAAAATTAAAGTGAAAATAAATTCAAGTCAAAATAAATTAATAAAAGTCGGTAATATTTCATCGAATAAATAATAATGAAAATTAAAGTAAACAATAGTCAGTATTAATAATTATGGTTGAATGTTTCATCTAATAAAAATAATATAAAAAACAATATACCGCTTCTTTCTTTCTCCCTTTTCCCCCTTTTGTCTGTTTCTTTTTAAGCCCACTTTTGTTCTTTGCTAATGAACGGCACCCAGTGCGAATCAAACTTACTACAGTAATAATAAACTCCAAATCTTTGCGGAGTAATCATGACATATAATTGAAATAATCCTTTTCGTTCATTCCTGTGTACTTGTTAATTTTTTCTCTGTTTGCATTGTTTTTTATTTATTTTGTTCATTCAATTTTTCTTTCTTCCTTTTCCTCTTTCATTGCTTTTAATTTTTCTTTCATGTTCTTGAGCCTTAACAAAGAATGGAGACTTGATTATTAAGTCGAGTCACTAATCTTAATTGATGAACTTCTTAAATAATAATCTTCTTAAAACTGACAAAGATACAACAGGGATTAAAAAAAAACGTAAATTGAAGTTTGCAGATCAATGCCGTTTGAAATATGATGTAATTTTTTCTAAAATAATGACAAAAATTAATATCAGTGAATTATTATTTAATTGTATCAAACAGTTTTTTGTTACTCCCTATACATAGTATATCCTTATTATATACTATTTTCACCTCAAGTTTTACGTTTCTATCAGTAATAGATTGATTTGTTTTTTTACGGGTTATCAACCTTTTGCCGGTTATTTAAAGCTGGAAAATATTTTTAGATTTTAAATTTTTTTGGCGATAATGACGATATACTGATACAAGTTTTTCTAATTAACCCATAGCTGGGAGGAGAAGAGGCGGATTCATACCTTTCCCAAGGGTATTTGTGCGTAAGTTAATATAACGAACCCGACTGAAATTGAAACTCGGCTCTCCGATTTCCAATTCCGAGCCGTTATCCATTACGCAAGGCTTACATCCAAGCTTACAGCACCTGGTATTGCCAAATGGTAACCCATCTAGGTACTGACCAAGCTCGACGTTGCTTAACTTCGGTGATGGTGCAAGACCCGCTATTTCAACGCAATATGGCCGTAAGCCTACCAGAAAAAAAGATTTATTTTTTAATTTTCTTTAAAAATACTATTAGTTCAATACTTTTTTATCACATACGATTTATGTTTGTCCATCTGGAAATTATCTAGCCATTTTGAATATTTCGAAAACAGGATGCGCGGTTTTGCGCGACCTGGATGTAACTTGGCAACCAGTCGTGCATGCGTGAACATCTGTTATCCCTTGGATTTATTGGAAGCGAGATGTTGCTTAGCGAGTCTGTGTGCAATGTGTCTGTTGCATTCACAACGAAGATTCATCCAATTTTGCTACTCGAACGATGAAGAACACTTTCAACGATAATTCAAAGAGAAAGGACCAAATAAATTTCATGCCAACACTTCACTCATAGTCATGCATTAGTTGATAGCGATTCATATTTCGAAAGGCTTTTAACAAGGAGATCCCAAACTGCTAAATCTGAATATGTCGCAACCAAAAGAAGTAGATAAATTCCAGTAAAGCATTGGAAAATGTGTGGATTTCTTAAGGCATCCAGAAAATATCTATTCATTTTAAATACATCAATTACCTATACTTCGCGCCTTGTGTGGGAACATTTTGTGAAAATATTGCATCACCTGGGTTTGTCATCTCTCATACAGTTCATATTTGGCTCCTCATGTGTAGATTTTCCCAAAATTATAAATTTTGCCCTTGATAATGTCTGTGTGTTTGAAAAATATTTATTACGAGTTAAAATTACCATTGAAAAGGGGTAAATCACCTTTTAAAGCCGATAACATCAAATCGCTCATGGTGTGAACTCGGGCCTCATGGTCAGAAAGAGAATACTGCCATTTTTACTAAATGAATGGAGTACATTTCACGATAGCCATGATGGTAGAGCTGTAAAACGTAATTTCATCTCGACATTGTTATTAAGGAACATGTTTTTCACTATTTTTCACCCAACACAATGTCCAGGTGCCACCCAAGGTAGACAGAGATTGAAACTGTCAAAATGTCAAAAGGGGGGAGTAAGGAGGAAGAGGCGTATATTATAAGGATATTTAGGATAGATAGCGGTTGACCCTAGTGGCCGTCAGCAACAGAGATTAGTTAGCAATCCTAGTAGATCCAAAATTGACGTATTCCCACTGCTATAGACATATGGTAAAATTTAATTTATAAAACCAGGCACAAGAGAATAACAACAATAACTAATAATAAAATATAACAAGTGTATTTTATATATTTGTGTGTTGCATTTAACGCTTTATTGAACTAGAGTTACATTCCTTGCAATGGCGACGCCAAGAGGCAGAATCTTTGTTATGACAATGGAAAACTGTTCTAATATATTTACGAAGACAGTAACTGAAAAAAAAACTGTGTGAAAAAGCAGAGAGAATCCATGATAATTAGAAGCTAATTATACAAATGCATGAATTGCGATGGTTGCATTACGTTATATGTTATTAATTAAGAAATATAAATCAGCATAATAGAACTATGAATTCTCGTCGCAAGATCCCGTTTGTCCATTAGCTATTATTATGTTATTAATTAAGAAATATAAACCAGCATAATAGAACTATGAATTCTCGTCGCAAGATCTCGTGTGTCCATTAGCTATTATTATGTTATTAATTAAGAAATATAAATCAGCATAATAGAACTATGAATTCTCGTCGCAAGATCTCGTTTGTCCATTAGCTATTATTATGTTATTAATTAAGAAATATAAATCAGCATAATAGAACTATGAATTCTCGTCGCGAGATCTCGTGTGTCCATTAGCTATTATTATGTTATTAATTAAGAAATATAAACCAGCATAATAGAACTATGAATTCTCGTCGCAAGATCTCGTTTGTCCATTAGCTATTATTATGTTATTAATTAAGAAATATAAACCAGCATAATAGAACTATGAATTCTCGTCGCAAGATCTCGTTTGTCCATTAGCTATTATTATATTATTAATTAAGAAATATAAATCAGCATAATAGAACTATGAATTCTCGTCGCAAGATCTCGTGTGTCCATTAGCTATTATTATGTTATTAATTAAGAAATATAAATCAGCATAATAGAACTATGAATTCTCGTCGCAAGATCTCGTGTGTCCATTAGCTATTATTATTTATTAATTAAGTAATATAAATCAGCATAATAGAACTAAATTCTCGTCGCAAGACCTCGTGTGTCCAAGCTATTATTATGTTATTAATTAAGAAATATAAACCAGCATAATAGAACTATGAATTCTCGTCGCAAGATCTCGTGTGTCCATTAGCTATTATTTTGTTATTAATTAAGAAATATAAATCAGCATAATAGAACTATGAATTCTCGTCGCAAGATCTCGTGTGTCCATTAGCTATTATTTTGTTATTAATCAATTAAATAATTAGAACTAAATTCTCGTCGCAAGATCTCGTGTGTCCATTAGCTATTATCTCAATTGATAATTCACTAAATAAGAAACCGTTTTGCCATTTTAAGCTGAAATAAAAGCATTCGCTCATTAGTAAAATGTCCTAAATAATCAAACTCAATTTTATATTTGATATATCTTCTTAAAATCTACCAACTTTTCCCAGAGAGAAACGTGCAACGGACTCCCAAGGGAATGCTTCCCTGACAACTAAAATATTGGCCTCTTGAAGTCTAAAGTCAACCAATATCTATCCTACACGTCCTCATATTATGCATTTCTTATTTCCACTTTCCTTCTCCCTTACAACAATCACTCTCAGTAACCCGCTACCTTGAGTGTCTCTTTGGCCTTGTATTTGGTTAACTAACAGTAAAAAAAAAAAAAGAATCTCATTACTTGTGAAAGACATTGCCAGTGAATGCAATACCTCACATTTATGTCCTTCAGTCAGTCAGTTATGTGTCATGCGTGATACAATCTTAGGCGATCATGTATCTTTCGATACATGACTGACGGGGGCAGATTTTTTTTCCCGCATTAGGTTACCATTTCTTTCTGCGGTAGACCAGTTGCCATCCAAGGCTATAGAACCCGGTCTGTCCTACTGTTTAATTATAGCTGGGAGGAGAAGAAGCGGATTCATACCTTTCCCATGCGTATTAACACGTAAGTGAATATAATTCATTACGACAGACTATCTCTAAAATATTTAATGGCTGGCTGCTAGCATCCGAATATGCTAGTCTGCTAGGTCAGTTAGCCAATCCCTGTTGCAGACTCCTGCTCAGATACATTTGTGGGTGCTACTATATTTTTTACTATAGTATGATATCTACTATTCATTTTCATGGTATGATATTTACCAACTTTTGGAAGTATGAAATATGTTAGGGTTAGGGTTAGGGTTAGGAATTAGGGTTATAGCTGGGGTTTAGGGTTGGCGTTAAAGGCAGTGAACAGTGAACCGGTTATGTCTTAAAAATCATTATAATTTTTTATATAAAAAAATTTTAAAAATCATCAATTAATGATTTTAATGTTTTAGTTATCTGATGTTATTAAAAAAAAAGGTAAACAAGTCATCATTTCTCTTGAGCATTTTCCGGCAGTAATGAGTGCATCGTCATTTACGGTAGGTCGCAAATGCTTCGGTCGATATCATACTATAGCAGCACCCATTTGTGCTTGTTCAACAACTAAAGAACCCATCTGCCGTTTATACTGCAACTATTCTTAGCGTACTTTTGGGAGAAAAACAATCACTTGACGTAATCGAAAGGTTGAACAAGGCCATTACGCTCAAACCATCGGTCACGCTGACTTGTAACTTCGTGCGAGTACAACTGACCTTACACAATTCCATCTACCCAATTTCACATACAAGGTTTGAATCAACCCGTAGTATGGTTTACACGTGCTTTCCAAAGGTGCCACGCGCTGGTATCACCTCCCTAGGCTGATACCATCATGAAGTCACCTTCCTAACAAATCGACCATAGTATGATACGAATCCGAATCTCATGGTTGGAAAACGGACGTTCTAACCACTCGGGCGTATTTGCTAATTGAATAGAGTAGATTTTATGAGAGCCACAATGGTAGTGCAGATAAAACGTCATTTCGACGGATTTTATCTTTAAGAAACATGTTTTTTGTTTTGTTTTTTTTATTTTTTTTACTATTGTTCATCCAACACAAGTCCCGAGAGCCACTCAAGGTAGATGGTTACTGATTAAGACTGCTGTAATCGTAGAAAGGAGGAAGAGGCACGTATATGGATTAGGATAGACATTGGTTGATTGGTTTGGTTTGGTTTGGTTTATTTTGTTTTACGGCATATTAACCTCAATAGGTTATTTAACGCCGACAACATTTTTAGAATAGATTCGTATGATTAGAATATGTATTATTTGGTTTAGATTGGTTTGGTTCATTTTGTTTTACGGCATATCAACCTCAATGGATTATATAATACCGACAACATTTTTTATTGCTGGTAATATTTTGTTTTGTCAAAAATCTGTTTCTGGTAATATTTTTTCCTTCAAAATTGTATTGCTGGTAATAATGTTTTTCAAAAAAGTATTGCTGGTAATAGTTAACTATTTGCCCATAGCTGGGACCCTAACAGTTGCTACCACACTGGGTCAGGGTGGACCTGAGAACACCAGCAATTAAGAGGTGGTTCCACGCTCCTCAAAACCTCCTGATCAGAGGCCTTGCTGCTGGATGTAGTTTATCGTCTTACCCAGGGCGCGGATGTAGTTTAACGTCTTACCCAGGACGAAAACATTGGTTGAACCTGTTTCACAAAGTAACAGAAAAAAATCAAATTACACGTCATATCAGAGGGAAATGAGTGTGATTTGACGCTGTGTACGTGGCATGGAGGGTCATAGCTATAAAGATTTGAACTGATGGAATTAGGAAATGTAACTCGATTGAACATTTGCCATAGTAATAGGGATAAAGTGTCAAGGGTTAGAAATGCTTGGCCTGTTTGAAAGGTGCTGCTAAGTAGAAAACGGTTCATCACCTAGAAAACTGCGTAATCACTTTTGAACCCTGTCGAACATGTAGCAAAAGGCCAGAATAG